TTCACATGAACATTTTCAGAAGCAAGTTCACATTCTTAACTTAGGAATAATTATATATCCCAATTTTGCTGCATTTTAGTCCTAATGAAAATAGAATTAAAGCATGCTCAATTAAAGTCTTTGTCAAAGAAACATATCATTAATATATTAATTATGGAATTATAAAACTTAATCATTATTGATTGTTAATTAATTATTGTCCTTTTTTCTTGTTAAAATATAAACCAAGACAACACGCTGTACACCAGGCCCTGGAGATTGTTATAGTAAAAAACCATGTGTGTGTGTGTGTGTGTGTAAATAAAAAGTCTTTGTCTTTTCCACAAAGAAATAGAACAAAACTAAAAGGGAAAACTAAGGAAGGTCTAGTTCTGTAAAATCCTACCTTCCCAAAACATTAAGATACCCTTAATGTTTTGTCTGTTTCTGTACCAAAAAGCAAGTGGAGTACATGCCTCCTTCCACTGCATGTTTATGTTCTCTTAATTTCTGTTCTGAAAATGAATGTTCATTGTCGATAAATCAGCCAAAAGGCGGCGCTGTTGATTTGATTCAAGCATGCTTCCTAATCTACTACCAGCAGAAAAAGAAGTGCTCCATGTATATCTCAGAAATCCTCCTGCTGATTTTCTATCATGTTTTGTCTCTATGATCTCAAAATTGGTTGCTCAAAGCAAACCTGAGTTTCATTCCAACACAATTTTTGATCTAGAAACATTCTTTCTTCCTATTCATATATTCTCTCAACATGCAACTTATTATTGATGATTGTTATAAAAAGAAATAAGAATTCCTTGTTGACTTTTTGTGCTAATTAGTTTTCTCAAAGCTTGAATGTGTATTACTAATACTGAACACCCTAATGAATTTCCTGTTAGCATTTACACTTCATAGTGTGGCTATAGTTATGTCAGATTGCAGGTATTACATATGGGGCTGACAATTCAGTCCTACAGGTAGTGAATTCAGAAGAGTTATTCCCAGACAAATTGGAGTCACGATATATTTGAATACTGCTTAAATTGTGAAGAAAAAGAAACTTTTGGCCAATTTCAATGTTTCTCAGTTTAACTTACATTCAGTCAACATCACATTTCTGAAACAGTAGTAAAAAATTCTAAAGAAAAAAATACCCCATCAACCCTGGTTGAATTTTAAATCCTATTTGAATTCACAGGACATTCTAACCCATAAAAACGGCAGAGGCTGAACTTACACTGCAGTTGAGAAGAGTTTCATCCAAACCAAGCCTCAAAATTAAAAAAAAAAAATCCTATAGGCCAGTAGTTCTCAAAGTGTAGACTGGGGACCCTTTGGGGTCCCTGAGACCCTCTCAAGGGGTCAGCGAAGACAAATAAATTTTCTAAAATGTCTCAGTTTTAAATCATTACACAAAATATCAACAGATATATCCTACAGAAGCCAAAGCTATCTGGGGTCCTCATATGTTGTTAAGAATGTAAAGGTAACTCACAACCAAAATATTAGAGAACTGCTAATGTAGGTCATTGAATCCACTTTTTTACTTGATACAATAAATCCATACCTAAGTATTTTTATATACTGAACCTAGTAAAGCACATAATTGGCTTCAATTATAAATCAATAGAATTGTTCTTAAGAAATTCCTCATAATGTTCAATTTGTTGACATTTCTCCAATATAGATTCCCATCAGATCTATATTTGTCCTCTGTGACAACAAACATTAAACCGGATGGATCAACAGAAAGTCATTTGACTTGGAAAACTCTTGCCGATCCAAGCCATGACAGCAAACAGGAATATCCTGTTTTTAGCATTCAGAGATTATACTCAGAAGGCAATGGAAAGATTATATCAGAAGATTATATTCAGAAGGCAATGGAAAGACAACATTGTAGGGGCGACCCTTGATCGGACAGCTGGGAATTCAGGCGATTGTCCTTTTTACGCATTTCGAGGGCATCAGCGTGGGGGAAGTTGAATGAAATTCGAACTATCCGGACGACCGCTAGATGGCAGTAAACACAGAAAAAAGGAACTCTTGCCTCCCTGATCCGGTCGTTTGAGCTGACATTTCTCCAGAAGTCTGACGCAGTCATCTCACCCCACCCTACCATTCCGCACAACCCACACACCCCTCCCACTTCTCACGCATTGATGGACTAGGACAGGGGTAGGCAACCTTGGCTCTTTTATGACTCGTGGACTGGCTGAGGAATTCTGGGAGTTGAAGTCCACGAGTTATAAAAGAGCCAAGGTTGCCTACTCCTGGACTAGGAACTGAGACTTTTTTGCGGAACTGTTCCCTTTCTATGGTAAAAGACCTATGACCCGGAAGCAAAATGGCCATATTGTTGTTTGACCCTGGGAACTCTGCCGGTTACGGGAAGAGGCGGGCTTGAGAGCTCTGAAGCGCGGCGGCTCTGCTCTAAGGCATCGAAAGCGGAGTCCGTTTCTTTTATTGTCGCAGGATTTCCCGCCCTCTCAAGGGTGAGTCCCAGCGCCTCCAAAAGGCTTCCACTTACCCGTCCGCGGCGGTCCTCCCTAGGTTTCCCCATGCGTGAGACCCAGCTCGGAGTAGTGGGAGCGTATGGTGAAGGAGGAAATGTTTCCTCTCTTGCTAGATTCCTGTGATGGCCTTTCAGCTTCTTTATTAGGCCCCTATCCCTCTTGAGTGCCGTCCTTCCTCCTCTTATGGAAGGAGACATCTACCCCAGGCTGCTTAGTCATATTACTCACGTTTGGGGTGAGTAACCAGCTTTGTGGAAAACGTCCATTTTACAAAGAGGCATATATTTCCTCACCGTTATGGGAGGTTTAAGTCGAGCCTAGATACACCTAGATGGCCTTTATTTTATGATTGCTAAATTACTATCCATAATGCAGATGTGAAAACCTTTGGGGAGCAGGTCAGTTAAACAAAACAGGATTCTGCCCAGATTCCAGAATGCTGAGCAATAAAATAAAATACCACAAGCTGAGAAGTTGTGATATATGAGGAAGGAATTGGGACACGTAAAAAGACTTGAAACACTTCACTTAGTGAAGTGGTATACTATTAAATAGATAAAAGCTAAACTGGTGAATGAAAGACCCTTGTGGGTTTGAAATAAGAGCATTGCAGATTGTACTGTTAATCATGTAGAAACTTAATGTCCCTATTATCTACAGGAAGATAATATTTTGTAATGACCATACATTTTCTTTATTAGTTATTACTGTGCTAGTAATTCTAGTATTATGAATTACTGGATTTATTTTTATGATTAGATTTATTTTACTCATTCTTTTAGAAAAAATGAAATGACTGACATATATATAAATTCTCAAATTACTTTATTTTCTCTGTTTTGTATGTCTTTAGTTCACTGTTCAACTTGTCCTCCATGGCAACGTGGAGCCGTGAAGCTGTGCTAAACCTTTATCGTGCACTGTTGCGTCAGGGACGTGGCTTGCGCTACACAGATCGTGATTTCTATCTCAGCTCGATCCGGAAAGAATTTCGCAAGAACCAGCACCTTACGTCCCCAGAAGATAAAGAGCGACATCTTAAAAAGGGGCAGACTTTTTTGCACAGCAAACTTGGAGGACTTATTTAGGAAATTCTTTTTTTCCCTTGTCATTTTTTTCTTTTATTTTCCTTAATTTATTTAGTAATTTGAACTGGATGGTCAATATCAGAAGTCTGCTGCAAATCTGTAAAAAATCCAATTCCCCAAAGTATCCTACATACATCCCTGGGAGCATTTCTCCTTCCTTTTTGCAGATGCATTAAGCCTCAGGTAATTATATAGAGAGATGTATTTTGCTATTTTAATTATTCATTATTTGTACAGATAAAAAGCTGATCTTAGTAATTAGAGTACTAAGTACTAATCTGAGTAATTAGAAATTATTTTTTATCTGAGTAATTAGAAATTAATTTTTAAATTTAATTTTATTAAGTTTTATAAAACAATTCTAGCATGTTTGAAATTGGCATTATGAAGAATGTACTATATATGCTAGTAATATTACAACATTAATGTTTACAGTACAGAGGATGGAGGAATTTATATCCAGGTTTTGTTCCTGTACTGGCAACTCTTATTTTGACTCCCCTTAAATTCTGGAAATAAGTTTGTCTAAGATGCATCCATTGAAATATTGGTTCATAATGTTACAGTTCTAGGCTACCTGCATATCTTCAGAAACCTTTTTGTGCAAGTATAACTTGTTCGTCTGCATTTTTTTCTTCTTGATGTTGTTTGCAATTATGCTTTAATAGTCCTTTTTCAGAAACTCCCTTTCAACATAAAATCCTTTTTTTTAAATTACTTTCTGCTACTGGGAAATTCTAATAGCTCTAAGTTTATTAATGTAAAAGAGGGCCTTATTTGCATGTCAGACATTCACTTAATATGAATTTTACTGCTTGGTCTTGAATAAATCTCACTTCATGTTAACTTTACGCAGCCTGGTGTTTTCCAAAGGTGGTTTCTTTTGGCTGAACATTATGGGAAGGTCCCAGGTTAAAAATATGGTTGTTTATATTGAATGAGCTTGGAATATATTCATGACTGCAAGGATGTTGTATGCGTACTTCATTGATTCCTTCTTTGGAAGAATGGCTAACTAAGATAAGATAACCTTTATTATAATTTTTTTACTGTGGGCACAACGGCACACATCAAAAATGAAATTTAGTTGCCCGCTCTCAAAATGAAACACATACATGACACACATCTAAACATACTATGAACAACATATGTATAGACCACACCTCTACATATACGTAGCAAATAAATATTAAATGCTGTCCATCTTGAATATATAACGGAAGGAGGAAGCTTGAGAGTTCACAAGGTTAATGCTGTGTGGAATGAAACTATGGCTGAATCTGGATGTTCTGCTATGGATTCCACGAAGCCTCCTCTCAGAAGGTAACAAGGAAAACAGGTTGTGAAGAGGATGTATAGTGTCCCAGACAATCTTGCGGACCCTGCTCAAGCAATGCTTCTGTGCTATGTCCTGGATGGGAGAGAGGGAACTGCCAATCATCTTTTTGGCCATTCTCACCACTCTGCACCTGTCTGAAGCAGTGATGCTTCCAAACCTGACTGTAATGCTGTATGACAGGATGAATTGAATTGAATTGAAGAAATGTGCTTCAATGTCTAGAATAATTTCATATTTAAAAAGTAAACCTGATATAGAATTCAGTTATAATTAAAGACCATTCTTAGACTATAACTTTATATATAGATTTGTACCACACTCCCAATTAGGCCTTTTCTACATTTTCTACATAAAGTCTGCATTTTAATTTTATGGAAAGTGAAATTTTTAGTATTGATTAGAGTTTGGCTTTAGTTATTGATTTATATTGTGTTAACTAGCATTGGGATTATGGTTTTTACAATTAGAATTACAAAACATGTTTTAAGGTGATATATTTAAAATAAACTTAGCTTCAAATAATTAATCTTATAAGTCCATGGCATTAAAACCAAATAAGCACTGAATGACAATTACACTGTTTGTTTTTCCTCCATGTAGGAATAATGGCAGGCTCTGGAGAGCGCAAAGGAAAGAAGGATGACAATGGAATTGGCACGGCTATTGATTTTGTGTTGTCAAATGCTCGACTTGTACTGGGAGTGGGAGGTGCTGCTGTGCTGGGGATTGCTACCTTGGCTGTCAAACGGGTAAGAAATGTTTGTGTCAGAAGCATTACAATTAAAATAAGGCATACTATATGACAGCGGCTCCCAACTTTTTTTTATATCCCGCACCCCTAGAATGTTTCTGATATATTCTTGCACCCCTTGCAAAAGTTCAAAATAAGGGCAATGAATTATGCATATACACTATAATTTTGAAAACTCAAGTTTTCGCACCCCCTGGAATATCATCTTGCACCCCCAGGGGGTGCGACACCCTTGGTTGGGAACCCCTGCTATATGACATAACATTTAAAATACAAAATACAAGATTAAAAGAAAGAAATAATATAGTTGGTAAAGAAATATCTAGATTTATTGCGGCTGGGAAAAATTCAGTAGAGAATAGAGAAATTAAGTCTTATTAGGTTATATGGTCAATGTTCTACTTTCACTCTCTGCAGATGTATGACAGAGCAATTAGTGCTCCAGCCAGCCCCACCCATTTAAGCCAGTCAGGAAAGAGAAGCTGGGAGGAACCAAGCTGGCTTGGGTCATCATCACGATTACTGAACCAAGACATGAAGACAAATCTTAGCCGTTCTCTGCAAACTCTGCCCACAGATGCTTCAGATTTTGAAATAGGTGAGTAATAGTCTAAAGAAAGAATATATACATTGTATTGACTATATGCTATATTTAATGTATTCAGAATGGCTTTGTAGTTCGTTTCATTGATGTTAACAAAGGATGTCTGCTTCTTGATTGTCCCATGAATTTTCTTTCCCCATTAAATCTTATTCTAAAGCAGTGGTTCTCAACCTTTTTAATGCCGCGACCCCCAACCGGTCGTAAGTCGCGGACTACTCAACCGGTCGTAAGTCGAGGACTACTCAACTGGTGCAGCACCGTTTGCAGAATGGGACTTTTGGCGGGCTCAGCAGGGCAGAGACAGCCTGGACAATTCCTATTGGCTTTTGAAAGCCATTAGAATTAGACTCTATTCAAAAGAGTATATTCTATTGGCTTTCAAAAGCCAATAGAATAAAAGGGAGTAGCACAGCTAAGGAAAAGGGGAAAAAAATGGCGGACTGCATTGTTTGGCGACCCCCGTGAAATGGTCGTTCGACCCCAAATGGGGTCCTGACCCACAGGTTGAGAACCACTGTCCTAAAGCTATTTTGTTTGTTAAAAAATACATGTTCCGAACAGAATAATTTTAGTTCAGGCAATTTATACAAGCAATTTGCAGTAAAATATCTGGCTCTTTTTGAGTTTTTCTGTTGTATTACCTGAACAGATTCAGTCAAACCTATAAAGCATAAATCACCTGCTAAGAGAAGCCAGGTGGAATTGAAGAAATCCCACCTTCGGATGTCCTTGCAAGAAAAACTGTTTGCTTATTATCGGAGAAAGGTGGCTATCTCTGTAGAAGAACAGACCAAAGCCAAGCAAGCTGCTGTGGATATCTGTGCCGAATTACGCAGTTTCCTCCATACCAAATTGCCAGACATGCCTCTGCGTGAAATGTATCTGAGTGGTAGCCTCTGTGATGATTTACAGGTAAACTGAATGGGTGAAAAGTTTTAAATGTTCTTCAGCAAGAATAATATTGGTAGAGAAGTTTATCCCACTATCATATTCTCTGGGTTATGTTTAGATTTTTTTTGTGTCTAATCTGATCTTGTGTAAGAAAAAGATCCCCTTTTTGGGCCAATATCCACATTTATTTATTCTATGTCTTTTCTACATCTGTTCAATGAAATATATTTCCAAATTGTTTATTCAGTATAGCATAGTATTTTTAGCCTAGCATTTGGTGTCCATATGTGCTAGTTTTCTATTGTAATTCAAAATAATTCCTATTTATCTTGTAAGTTTGTTGTAGCTGGATCTATGACTTCAGTATAGCTAAAGAGAATACTGTATTGATCACTGATAATGCAACTGAAGTGTTCTTAGTATTCCCAGCCTTCCTTCTGGCCTAGCTTTTCCCAAATTGGTGGCCATATTAGTTGGATTATATCCTTTAATTATGAGAATTCAAATCCAAACATTTGGAGGGTGTCAAGTAAGCTAGCTGATAATTGATAGGACCAGTCCTCAGATGTTTAATGCTCTCTTTATTTCTCTTTGTTGCTAGGTTGTGACAGCTGATCACATCCAACTTATTGTTCCTCTTGTGCTAGAACAGAATTTATGGTCATGCATTCCAGGTGAAGAAACCATTATGAACATCCCTGGCTTTTGCCTAGTACGTCGGGAAAACCCAGAATATTTTCCTCGTGGTAGCAGTTATTGGGACCGCTGTGTAGTGGGGAGTTACCTCTCACCCAAGACTGTATGTTGTACCTTTGAGAAAGTAGTGGCTGGCTCCATCAACTGGCCAGCAATTGGATCCCTCCTAGATTATGTGATCCGTCCAGTTGCTCCCTTAGAATCTCTAACTTTGGAGGTCCAGTATGAACGGGATCGGCACCTTCTAATAGACTTTTTACCATCTGTGACACTAGGTGATTCTGTATTGGTAGCCAAGCCACACCGACTGGCCCAATATGATAATCTATGGCGACTCAGCCTTCGGCCAGCAGAGACAGCTCGCCTGCGGGCCTTGGACCAAGATGATTCTGGTTGCCGTTCTTTGTGCCTCAAGATCCTCAAGGCTGTATGTAAACTGAACCGAGTTCTGTGTTGTCTTTCTGCCAGCCAGCTTACCAATGTAATTTTACACCTGACCCAAGAAGAAACTGATTGGTCACAAAATGTAATAGCTGACCGTTTTCTTCAGGCATTGAGAAAACTAATAGGCTATTTGGAAGAAGGAATTCTTCCGAGTGCTTTAAATCCCAAGGTGAACTTGTTTTCAGAGCTTACTACTGAAGAAGTAGATGAGTTAGGCTATACACTGTACTGTTCACTTTCAGAACCAGAACTCCTGCTGCAAATGTAATCGCTGCCTTAAGTGTGAGTTAGTGTTAGAACTACTTGCCATGACAATTTGTCTTCTGAGTGAGTTATGCACATCTTGCCCTGGTTATTTTGCAAATCTGCCTTTGTATTTTTACTGTTATTAAATAGGAGGGGGGGGGGCATTAGATTCTTGGTGCTACCAGTCTAGTTCCACTACACTCAAGGAACTGGAGGAAGAAGCAACTTTGAAGATTTGCTCAATTTGCTATAAAGTTCTTACTGATGTATCCGCTGATGGAGTCCCAACATATGCTGTATTTCCTGTAACAGTTTGTATTTTGCTGCAGTGAAAATTCTTACCTATTTCAAAAGTGTAAAATTGCCACTAACAATTTTAAGAACCTCCAATGTATAATAAGCTTTGTTCCTATTGATTGGTGATTATTTTTTCCCTTTTTATTACAAAAGTGCTTGACAGAAAAGCTTCAAGTATTTGTAGCAGGATATATATTTGTGAGTTCTGTACATTGATTATATTATATTGTCTAAATTTAAGCATGTTAACTTAAATGTATGTGACACTCAGAGTGATGATAACCCCATATTTTTAAATCTGAGTGCATATTGTCTAGGACTTGCTACTTTGCCCGATTGGAGTCCTTCACTGCACATGCATATGCATATAAGGTCCTCAATACACTCTTGGTTGAAAAACTGGTAGAAGATTGCTAATTGATGCAGAGGAATGTAAGAAAGTAAATTTCATATTCACTGCTTTTGAAATTATTTGCCCATGTAATTGAGAAATTAGGGAATATCATTAAGGCACAGAGCAGGACACTTGAAATAAAGATTCTTGAATAAGTGCTATGGCACTTCTAAAAATTTTGTGCCTTAAAATCATACAAAGGGTAGCTGAGAGGTGACTGTATGCAAAACTGAAGAAGGCAAAGATGCTTTGGTTGGCATAACTTCATTTGCTGTACTTGTTATTGATGGTCAGAAATGTCCAGTCTGATTTTGAAGCACCTTTGCCCTCTTCAGTTCTGAATATTGCATACCATTAATGCTTGAACTTCAAATCATTGGCTAGCTGGTGAACGTATGGATACTGATGTATACTTCCTGACGGTTTTATCTATAAACTATTGGGCACAGGCAATTAGAGAAAATGACACTACTGGAGGAAAGCAAAATAGTTTTAAGTGAAAAATATGTATTATGCCGTTTATATATTTAAAGGAGATGGCATATACTATATATTTAACAGTTTGATCCAGTTATATTCAAGAAAGTATCAGCACTTTTTCTCCTATGTGGTCTTCCATACATAATTTATATAACCCTCTTCTTAATCTCTATGCATTCTCTAAAACAATATAACATATAGGGAGGAGCTGCAATAGCTGTATCTCCTGCTTTGCAGATACAAGCATGTCATGGTGAATGTGTAATCTCTTGGGAATATATGGTTTGTTAATGCTGCTATCATCTGGTACTACTTCCATCTTCCCCCAAGGAAAAAAAAATAGGAGGTACTCTAAGAGATGAAACTGTCAAACCTGCATAACAAGTATTACTACTGTAATACATAGGTAATTCTGAGGGTTGCCTTGTTTCAAATATCCGCCCTCAACATTAAAGGGCAGAGTGGATGAGATAATCTGCAGGTCTTGGGAGTTGAACATAAATCTTCCATATTCTTTCTGTTGAAAGTGCTGCTTGCTAAGTCTACATATGCTTCAGAACTGATTTGAAAGAAGGGGTTTGGTCCTTTGCACAGAATCATTTGATATTCATTAAAGTAGCCAGTTCTTTTTCAGAATGCTACTTACAGAGTTGTGTTAAATTTAATGAATGGAATCCATAAAGCAGTGGAAGCCTGAAAAAATGAATTTAATGAATAGCAGAGAGCTACTTTTTCTTTTCTTCAAAGAAAAATAAGTCCAGCTGCCTCTTGAAAAAAGCAGCTTTGGAACAACCGTGACCTGGATGACTGAGAATCTCCATAGACCCAGAGTTGCTAGATTCATGCAAGTCCAAAATGTTTTTTTCAAATCACTTTCAAAGTATGACCCTAGTGCTTATGTTATTAAGATATTCTTCAGTTTAGTTGTAGGTATGGAGAGTGCACCACTCATATTTTGAGATCAGATTGTCTTTTACAGATATATATATTGTGGCAATGGAATCAGTATTATCCTAATTTAAGTTTCAGTGTTATAGCCAAAGACAGAAAGTTATCATTGAGTGCTTGGCAATTTGTAACCTGGGGAATATTTAATTTTTCTTTTTACTGATTAATATAGTTTCCAGAATACATTCCTCCCCATTCTCAACCTTCCTGCTCCATGTGTTGATGAATACCTACATAGACATTATGCGGTTAGAGACTTTGCTTTGGGGCCCATTGTTCTCCATCTTTGCTCCCCTGTTCTTTTTGTCCCTTAGCCTGCTGTTGGTTTAGAACAGGAAAGCAAATCACATCTGAGGCAAGAATTAGAAGAATCCAGTATCTCTTGCATTCCCACTTATCTATTATTTTTAAAAAATTGCAAAAATATTTTATTTTCTTAAATTGTTATGAGGTTGAATATTATATGTAGCTTTAAGCAACTATCCCTGTGACAGTAAGATGCCATTTTGGGTTTTTTTTTCACTTTCATGTCTTTTATTTCCTACAGAGCAATGATGAATTGGGTTTTTTTCTTTGAAATATGTAAAAGATATTTCACGATAAGGCTAATAATATAACATTGCCACTGCCATCAATGCAAGTGGAAAGCCAATGATAGCAGCTGATGGTCTCAAGCTGAGGAGCCCAAGTCTGCTCATCCTGCAATATAGGTGCCAAACCAATCAGTAGAAACTGCAATTTTGACCAGCTAGCTGAATAATAAATGTAATTGTCTTTACTTGGCACTGCTGACCTCCCAGGTTTGATGGAATACTTGGGACATTTGCCCAAGCTGAAATGTATAAGAGGGTTGGAGGAAAGAATTCTAATGGTCTGTAACCATGTATAAAAGTTGTGAAATAAAATCGTCCACAACCATGTGACTCTTTAAATATACTGGATATGCTGAGGCTTTTTAAATATCTTATGAAGAGAAAATACAATCAGGTAATCTTATAATTACCTTCTTGGTTTGCAACACTTAATGGTACTTAGAAGAATGTTGTCAAGTGAACTTTTAAGCTTTATAATACTACAACCTTTATAATAGTTGTAGTCTTCGACTTACAACCATTTATTTAGTGGCCATTTGAAGTTATATGACTATTTTTCACATGATCATTGCAGCATCCCCATGGTCATGTGATCAAAATTCAGACACTTATCAACTGATTAATAATTAGGATGGCTGCAGTGTCCCAGGGTCATGTGATCACCTTTTGTGACCTGGCAAGCAAAAGCAGTATTGAAGCCAGATTCACTTAACTGTGTTACTAACTTAACTGCAGTGATTCACTTAGCATCTATGGCAAGAAAGTTTGTAAAATGGGGCAAAACTCACCAAATATTTTGCTTAGCGACATAAATTTTGGGGTCAAATTGTAATCATAAGCCGAGCATTACCTGTAATTAGAACATTTTGCATTTAAAAAAATAGTTCTAATAAAAACATTTATTGCACAAAAGTATGATACCCCCTATATGACAAATTGCAACCCAAAATTTTCTTTGAGCTATCCCAAATCATCCATCCATGTGTCTAGGAAATCATCTTTGATACAATTGTATGCAAGTGGCGTTGTTATGACATAAAATGATCATCCTGCCCAAAATAGAAACAAGGAACTAAATAAGTACCTCCCATAATCTGCAATTTACATGTAACATGCTTTCTGTACTATAATAGAATTAAATGTAAAAATATTTCTATAGTTTGATAAATTAAGGTAGAGGTAAGATGTACATATTGTAAATCAAAGAGAATTGTTCTGGATATTGCTTGAGTTTTCCCAAATGTACTATATAGGACAGGTTATAAAAAACAAGATTCTTTTTACCATCCATTATTAGAATGAAAGGTATGGAGAAAAGGACTTGATAACAAAACTCCTGCAGTGTGCTCTTAAAGTTCAGTTACTATACTTTCTGTTCTTCATTTCTGATTCTTATTCCCAAGGCTCTTCTTCATGAGTTCAAATTGTTCATCTGGCATTCCTCTTTTTTCCATAGAAATATTTTATAAACTTGTTCTGTATTCAGTTTTGACACTCAACGTTAGCCATGTATGCCTGTTACTAGCTGCTGCATAAAAGGAACTCCTTGCGCCATGTGTCAAGCACAACTAAGAACAACCAGCAGCTAGGTCTAAGTTTTTACTTCCTCACATCACTAAGAATGCAATTACTTCACAAACTAATATGAATTATGTATTATTCTAGAAATACACCATAATGTTTGTAGTCAAATAAAAATATTTTATTCAAACATGAGATCTGAATAGTTCCTCTTTGAAAGGAAAAATTATCTGAGTAGCAAAAATGCCAATGAATTTTATCTAGTTTAAAAAACTGTTTGACGGGAGTAAAGGGAGGGCTTAATGTCACAGTGAACCTGACATTGCAACTTTCTAATCATCATTGGATTCCTATCCCACTGACCTAATATATAATCTTTGGCCTGGAACAAATTGCTTAATCAAGCTTTAGTAATTTCACATTATGAGGTTAATGCGTAATTTTGGTGACACTTGAATTCCCTTATGTCTATGTATATACCCGGTGCAAAAAATCAGGACCATCTATTATACTGCAGCAGAGAAGAATTATTCAAGCCTATTACACAAGAGTCTGGTCAACTAAAGTTTAACACTAAATTGGCACCAGATAAAGGTCAATGGAATTCAGGAGGGGCTGGACTTGGACTGCTTGTAGGAATGCACTTAACTCTGCACCCCAGCTCTTCTACAATATATGATAACAGGAGTTGGAAACAAAACATAAAGAGGCTAAGGTAGAACTAAACTTTGGGATCCTGTTTCAAATTTATCATGAATATAAAAATTATTTAAATCCATCCACATTAATTCTCCCATAGTACTCAACAGAAGAGAATATATGTAGCTGTGGAGTTCTCCCAGCATTGGCAACACTACCAATGTTTTCTCTTTGGTTATTCCTTGATTCAAAGGAAAAGCTCAAATCCAGGAACTACCAAGAAGAAAACCACACCTTCAACAACACTGGCAGGTAAGCTACTGTATATAAACAGAAAGCAAACTTGACACTCACTGGCAATCATGATATTACCTAGTTGGGTAATGAAACATCTGCAAGAAAATAACCAACTCAGAAAGCACTAAGGACTTATCTATAATGTAGAAGTATATAGATAGTAACAGCACATACAAAATTCAAAGCAGGAGGTTTTAAATTAACTAATTTTAAGATAAGTTTTTTATGCAGCAGACAAGCTAAGGCTCTATTTAACTGTTCTGTAACACCAGGCTAAATCAATCCACGTACCTTTACACCTTTTGCTGAAATCCAGTATGAACTGTTTCATATACCTTTACTAGCTCTTAAATAAGAGGCAAAAAAGAATTTGCAATCATTTTATTTTCATTTAAAAGAAAGGGCAATGAGTGGGTGAATGTTGAGTAATCTTTTACACTAGCTATTCACTATAGTATGTATGATGATGCCCACTTACCGAAGCATATGTTATATAGTACCTAGATAGTCTCTCAAATACTCAAAATTTGTTTTAAAAGTTACAGAAATATAATTAAAACTGTTCAGCAACATACATAATAAACTATAAATACATATGGTAACATAACCAATTGAGTTTCTGAGTTTGTTTCAAAATAACTAACGTTAACAGGTCCTACTTCAACAAATAAAAATCTGGTCTGACCTTTTAAGCAAACAGGGAATTGCTTTTTTGTTAATGAAAAACACAGATATTGGTTTGTCTACCTACTGAATGTTTTTCCCCTTTCTGATCTTGAGCAATTTATTTCCTCTTTCTATATTCTATGAAAATGTCACTGTATTAAGGGGAACAAAGAATTACCAGATGAGAAATACTGGATACTTACAAATTGATTTAGCATTTTTTTTTTGCTAGCAATATGGGTATCAGTATTCTATGGACACGCAAACTTTAACATTTAGTTTAGCTATTTTTGTATTTCACTTGAATTCTTGGACTAACTAAACTAGATTTGAAACAGCTCAAGAAAAGCAGATCAAAAACAGAAAAACAAAAGTATCCCTTGGACATATGCTCAGTTTAGAGGATTTTATTTCTGGTAACAAACAACATTTATAAACTTTTTAATGAACAAATATATTTCAAATGATAAAATCTTAACGCAGGAAACAAGTTGCGCCTATTTCGTCTCCTATCGAGCCTCATCCGTTCTCGGGCTCGTAAAGGCCAGAACATCAAGTTCTTTTTGGTGACGCTGTTCTGCGAGGAAACCCCCGCCATAGCCGCTGCTTCCGTTTTTTCCTCAACAGCAGGGCCAGAAAAGCTGCTGATGATACCCCACTCTCAGACAGCCCTGAGCCATCCGCGAGTAAGAGGGCGGTGGCTGTTCCAATGAGGCGTCTGTCTCGTTTTTTCCCCCAGCAGAAAAAGGGGGGAGGGAATGGACTTCCCGCGCCCCTCACACCACCCCAAGAGCGAGAAAACGGATGCTGTGGTAACTGTTTCCCCGACCAAGCCCTCTTGGGCGGTGCGTCACAAACGGCCTATAAGCTTCGAGCATGGGATCTCCATGTATGGCGATACGACCCAGACGAGTTGTGAGGAGTGGTCACTACCTCCAGAACCGATGCGTAGTCTTGCTGTCTTCGGTCGTTAGCCGGCTATGCAAAGCTTCTGACCACCACCTTGCTTCCCCCTATTGAGCGCGGTGGTTAGGGAGAGCGAAGGTTGCACCCCTCCCCCTGCAATCGCGCTCCCCCCCAGACTTGGGGGCAATCGGACACCAATGGCCGCTAACCACAAATGGCGAAGAGAACACCGAGGAAGGCCCAAAGAAGGAAGTCTGGCAAAAGGGACGAAGAAGGCTGATCGTTCATTAACACCTAGATTCTAGACAGAGCAGCATTTTAAGAGAAAATAGAAGACCCCCCCCGCCCCGCGACTCTATTTTTAATGATGTTGGGCAACCGTAGAAAAGTATTCGCCCCAACACAGTTAAGCACAGTCCTTTACGTGAGTTCTTCGCTCAGCCGACCAATCAGGTGCTTCATGTTCACGTGCTTTCTCAAACTACTGGAATGCAGAATGCGGCCACCCCCTCTTGGGCGGCTAATAGGCAAACCAAGCTAGAATTCCTTTTTCAACGTCACGTGTCTGACCTTAATTAAAGCGGCGGTAACCGTCATTATGATTCAACAACATAGAATAGTCCCTGTAATCCTTCCGCAAATTTTTGAGTAGGACTAATCGAATGCGGGTACGAAGCCTCGCGGAGTGTTTGCTTCAACCCAGCGTCACAGAGAGAAGCTCTATAAGGAAGTCTTACTTTTTCGAACGGCACACATTCAATGCCGAAGATACTGGGCGGAAGGATTTTCTGGAACCATTGCTTAATGAAAGGAGGTCCTGCCGGATCTCATTGACTATATAAAGAGAAAACGGGCTCACTCTCGCTCCTATTGTCTCTGAGAAAAAGATCTGTATGTTATTTTGTCGTTTTCGAAAAAAATAGCGCGTCTCTTCCCCCCCTTTTTTTTCGGAGTGTAACAGTGACGAGTCGAATAACCGAGGAAAGGTTTTAGTATACGCGGCCGCCACCATGGCATGGTAGGGGCGGCATCGCAAGCGACGGCATCGGCCATTGCAGAGTCGCAGCAGCGGCGGCCGCGGCCTCGGCACCTCCAAGCATCTGCAACCATGGCGTGAGTATTTGGGGAGGGTGGAAATTCACCAAAGATGGAGACATTGGCTTTTATTAAATATGGTGAAAGATAAGACAAACAGCACGGTCAGGTTAAGGAATTGAGACTTTAGGGAGTGGAGATCTATGTATAGACTTAAAACAGGTGGAGGAGAAAATATAGAAGGAAATTGGAAATCTCAGCCAAGGAATAGCATTTGTTCATGGCCGAAAAATACGGGGGAGGGGGCGGGACGGTATCAAGAAATAGGTTTGCACAACGAATTCCAGACTATAAATTAGGCTATTTATGGAAAGGGGAGGTGATTTAATGAGCCCTTGGGTTTCCCAGACTAATTAGAAGGCAGAATGATTTCCTTTGTTGGGGGGGGGGGGAAATCCCCCGAGATTTAAGCAATTGACTTACTTCTAAATAGTATACTAATAGTTTTTTTCTGGACAAAAATAGAACTTTAAGTTAAGATTGGCCTACTTTGTTAAGAGGAAGAGATAATAATTGCTTTTCACAACAGAAATATGAGGAATAAGTTTACCTTTTAATCACTAAGGCTAGTGTCTCTAAAAACATTTTGCTGAAATAACTAGTGGCGTTGCCTGGAATGCAGGTTGAATTGTCTATATAAGGTTAAGAGGTAGTGAATTACCTGTAACTTTAAAATAAACTTTTCTGTGGAAGCTGCCAATTTTTAAATAAATGGATATAAAGAAATTTGGTATTATGTGGCTCTCACATCTTACAATCATTAGATTCTCAGTGACCAGATGGAAACGTGGCAGGATACAAAATGGCGGCCTATTTATAGGTTAGACACGCAGAGCAAGCAGATCACGAAATGGCTGCAGCTGTTGTCACTAATGAATTCATGAATCAGACCAACGTGGGTGGAGATTGAATTGAAGCTGTGTAGTTAGGAGGAAATAGAGGGCCAACTTGCTGAACAAATTCTAGTTGGCGCTGTTGTACTGTAGTTCTAATTTGTATCTAAGACAATTCAAATGAAGTCTGGGGGGGGGGGAAAGCTGCAACTAGGAGTCATTGCTGCAGTATTACCATGCACAATTTGCCCTACATGATTTTAACTTGAAATTAAAATCTGAAGGCTCTTTTTATAATAATTATCTTGTTTTTTTCCAGGTTTTTCAAATCATCACACAGCAGTTTTGCTGTAATTGATAAACACACCATCTATTTGTCTAGGCAAATTGACAACAAAGTACTAAAACGTGACCAAAATGAGCTTCTCAAACACAGAGATGTTGTTGGGGGACTTTCTGTCCCCATTCAGCCAGCAGTGTTTGGTGGCTGATGAAGGTCTGGGGCTCTTAGATGACTGCTTGGAGGTGGCCAAGAACTTCAGTTCGCATGGGTTCTCCAGCGATAAGGCTAAAGTGGGCTCCTCCAATTGGCTGGATGTGGGCAGTTGGAAAAATGCCACAGACAGCAACCAGGGTAAGATAAATTATATTTATTCTGCAAATATTGGGTGACCCTTTGAGGCTTTTGATAAGTCTGTTTAAATGTATATATTTGTTTCATGGGTCTAAAGCAGCAGAAGAAAAGTTTTGTATTTGTTGAGATTATCTTTGGAATAGCTTTTTGTTTATTTTACAGAGGATGCCTTTTCTGGCATGGATTGGATGGTGGAGAAGATGGACTTGAAGGAGTTTGACTTTGATGCACTGTTAGGTATTGATCTGGAAGCCACCATCTCCCCAGATGAGCTCATGGCCACGTTGGAAGACACGTGTGACCTGCTTGACCCGCCCATTGAAGAAATTCCCAGCAAAGAAAGTTTATTAATACCAGAACCAATTAACCAATCCCCCAGGTCTCCTGAAGCAGACCAGGTGGCCCCATTGACTACATTATTGCCACTTCCAGCACCCCAAGGGCCACTGATTTCTACTGTTGATCATTCATTCAGTTTAGAGCTAGGTAGTGAAATAGACATCCTTGAAGGAGACAGAAAAACAGAAACCCCCACTATAGTGTTTCCCAAGTGTGAAAAAGAGGATGAAGCACATTCTGATAATGATAGTGGAATATGTATGAGCCCAGAGTCTTATCTAGGGTCACCTCAACAAAGTCCTGCCACTTCTACTAGTTCCCTCAGTGATAACCAGTCAGTTACAACCCAACCTGATCTTTCTGTGAGGCCCAAGCCTTATGATCGCCCTCCAGGAATCGTGTCATTAAAGATTAAAGAAGAAAAGAGAATAGATAAGAAACTGAAGAAGATGGAGCAGAATAAGACAGCGGCCACACGATATAGACAGAAGAAAAGAGCAGAGCAAGAAGCTATATCAGGAGAGTGTAGAGAACTAGAGCAGAAAAACGAAGCCCTAAATGAAAAAGTTGATTCCCTGAGCAAAGAAATCCAATATTTAAAAGATCTGATTGAAGAAGTCCGCAAAGCTAAGGATAAAAAGACTAAAGCCCCAGAATAGAGTAGTGGAGTAGGAGTTACATGCATGTATATTTGCTGAAACAGCTATGCTTTAATGCTTAATAAATTATTTTCTAATTTGGATATGTGAATATTGTTGAGTGAAGTTTTGTTTGAAACAGATTGGGCTAACAATTTAAAAACCCAATTGCCACATTAAAAATGAAAAGATAGCAATTGCAATTTAACCTACCTTATTTAATTTTATTCGACATTTTACAGTTATTCTGGAACAACATAATAGTTCATATTTGTCAAGGTACAAGTATTTTACTTTTTTCTCAATCTTAAATACATTCTATTCAATTCTGCTTGAACCTGTGGGTTCATATTTTTAACATCTTTGGATGATTGTTAAGCCAGTGTACCAAATGTGTAGCTTTATTATCAACTCTTACCCTTTTAAATCAGCGGTTCTCAACCTGTGGGTTGCAACCCCATTTGGAGTCGAACGACCATTTCACGGGGGTCGCCAAACAACGCGATCCGCCATTTTTTTCTCAGGCGCCGCCGCGCATGTGTGCCACGCAGGGGGTGCTGCCGCACATGCGCGCTGCGCAGGGGGCGCCGCCGCACATGCGCACCACGCACGCACATGCTCCTGACCGGGGTCGCCAGTCTCTAAAGATTGAGAACCACTGTTTTAAATGGATCTTACACTAATATCACATCATGCTCTCAGTTTGTCTTTTTTAATATTTACACTTATCCCTCATCTTGCCTTAATCGCTTCAAAACTTCCAAGACCAGTGTAAACAATAGGGATAATGTGCATCTTTTGTTCATAGGTCACAGTAAGGTTCTTGTGTTCCCATGGTCAAAACTACACCTAAGCTGGAAAGGTAGATTATTATCTATGCATAAGTACAGTCCCAAAGGTAAAAGATGCAAAAAACCTTAGGAAAAATTATATACAGTTCAAACAAACTTTGTAACGTGTTGATTAACATAATTTGAGTCAAATTAGAGAGCTTGTCCAGCAACTATGTTCCATGTAACAATTCATAGCATCCATAATCTTGTAAATGACTAATTGAATATTCAAAAGGTGATTTTATGTTAGTGAATTTTGACTAGAGTTCACTTTTATATACAATTCTGGCCTGGATCAGCTCTTAGGAAAGTGCATTCCACATGAATCTTCTGCTTACTTGGAAAAAATTGGAAACAAAGATGCTCCTTACTGAATATATTACCCTAAGATGGTAATAAAGTTCTCATCAAAATCTATACTAATAAAAATTTAAGGGATAATTAAGGTGATCAAAAACTGCATCAAGAAAATGCTTGTTTTGGGTATTACATAATTTTCAAAACCATCTTTTAGGTAAGAATTTACAGTGTGTTTGGTAAATTGTAGGACTATTTTCATTCTATTAGGCAATACTAAATAGGTATATAGTTTTTAGTTAGGTTTAAGAAGCGATTCATTTTGGGGTATTAATGTAATGATGGCTTCCCTTGATATTTTGAAAGACCTGATTATGTCATCAGATTTGAGTTCTTAGGAAGCTGGAGACCTGCTTAGATGGTTCAATTGTTGTAACCATTCTCTTCACCTAGAATTTTTTTAGTGTTAATATGGATTTTAATGCTTCTATCTGTTGTGGTGTTCCAACTATAATGTGCTATGCAGTTGCCTTTGATGAGATTGGCTATATGCATTTTGTAAGTAAAAGTACATGCCAGGAGAAAACAGAATGTTTTGTAGTTTCAACTTTAGGCTGCAATAATCTGATGGCACTCCAGAATAATATGTAGGACAATTAGAGCAAGTGTATAGTTTAGTTTCAACTTTAGGCTGCAATAATCTGATAGCACTCCAGAATAATATGTAGGACAATTAGAGCAAGTGTATAGTTTGTGGCCCGTTCTGTCCCATCTTTGCTGCTGTCGCTATGAAAAGATTAGCCCAACTGTTTTAATGATATCTTGGCAATATGGAACAAGCCCCAATATAAAATTTGCTTTCCATCCAGCTGCTTTTAACATACATGCTTTATTTCACCTTGTTTTCTGCTGAAGTACAAGTTTGAAAGCCTTTAAATGTCTTGGCCATAAGGAATATGCTTCTAGTGTGGTATATTCTACTTGTTCCTTGTCTCAACCACGATCACTATCCTTTTATTTCTGCACTCCCCCCAAAACTACTTTTTCATGCTACAGTATAACTAGAACAAAATTCATTTTTTCTGCAAATGGATCAGAATATCTGAACTGTAGATTAACACAGGACCAACTTTATATGCGCAGGATGCCTAGAAAATTTTGTACAATCTTATCCAATATTCTAACATTAAAGTTAAAATTCAATTTGATTTAAAGCACAGTCTGAGCTTATCAGTTATTTTGATCCACAAGTAAATGTGGAATGCCATTTTCTAAATACAATAACTTAAGTTTATGAATAAAATAAATTGACTAATACTTAAGCAATTGTTTTGTATTTGTTGAAATTTAATGTATAAATGATAGGTACCAGTGATTTTGAGATCGTTTTAAGTCTTTCAATAATTTGGAGACTGCTCTTAACAACAGTCTTGTTAACAATTAGCTTCAGTACATTGTGATCACTAAATGCTAAAGCTAATTGTAGATAACAGCTAACTATAAAATAAAAAGCTATAAAAATAAATAAGTTAATTATAGATAACATTTGTTAAATATTAAAATATCCAAATAACAAAAGTTCTGTTCCTTTACACAATGCATTAGGCCAGTGGTTCTCAACCATTCTAATCCCGCGACCCCATAATACAGTTCCCCATGTTGTGGTGACCCCCAATCACATACATCACCGGATGCCAGGGGCGTGGGCAAAAAAAGGGAAAAAATGGCCGACAGCCTTGTTTGGTGACCCCCGTGAAATGGTCGTTCGATCCCAAATGGGGTCCCGACCCACAGGTTGAGAACCACTGCATTAGGCTGATACTACATGCTGGGATACAGATAGTTCTCAACTTATAACAGTTGAGCCCCAAATTTCTGTTGCTAAACAAGAGGGCTATTAAATGAGTTTTGCCCCATTTTATGGCCTTTTTTATCACAGCTGTGGAATCACTGAAGTTGTTAGCAATATGGTTAAGTGAATCTGGCTTCCCCATTGACTTTGCTTGTTAGAGCAACTGTTCTCAACCTGTGAGTCGCGACCCCTTTTGGGATCGAACGACGATTTCACAGGGGTCACCAAAGTCCTGGAGTTTTTCTTCATAGAATCCTTACGAAACGCAGTCCGGCATTTTTGGTGTTGTTTTTTTCCCTTTTTTCATGAGCTGTGCTACTCCCTCTTATTCTATTGGCTTTTGAATGCCAATAGAATAGACTCTTGAATAGAGTCTAATTCTATTGGCTTTCAAAGGCCAATAGGAATTGTCCAGGCTGCCTCTGCCCTGCTGAGCCCGCCAAAAGTCCCAGTCGGCAAACGTTGCTGCAAAGCTAAGGCGAGCTTTCTGGAAATTTCCACCCCTCCCTGCTGAGCAACTACTAAATGTAAGTAAAAGAGGGCCAGGGGCGGGAGGACCGCCCAGGAGCGCCTGGGCTTGCCTGCCACCGCACCGAATGGGCGGTGGCCATGGTGAGGCTAGCGGGACAGTGGCGGGTGCTGGGAGGGTAGCTGGCGCGCATGGGACCCGGTGGGTAGCTTACGTCCCTTGGGCTGGGCCAGCTGATGGCCCAGCAGTGGTCGGCCTGCGCCGTCGCTGCCGCTTGCCATGGCCGCCCAGGAGCGCCTGGGCCTGCCTGCCGCTGTACCGAACAGGCGTTGGCCAAGGTCAGGCTAGCGGGGCAGTGGTGAGTGCTGGGAGAGTAGCTGGTGCGCGTGGGTCTCACTCTCAGCTGGCTGTCGGGAGTCGGGCGGTGTGAAGCGGCCCGGCCGGTTCCCTACCGATGTCTGGACGCTGACCCAACTCCCAGCTAACTGTCGGGAGTCGGGCTGTGCGTTGGCTGGCTGCTGCCTGCGTCCTCCTCGTCTCCCGACTCGTGGCAAGCCCAGGGGCTTGAAAAATGCCACCAACGCCGCCCCAGGCCAGCTCAGCTATGTGGGCGGCCAGTCCGAGCCCTCCGCATGATGAAATCGCAGGTGGCGCCGCCTTGCCAGCTATGCCTTGGCTGGCGCAGGGGGCGGCACCATGCATGCGCGGTGCTCCAGGGCTGCGTTGCTGGGTGACGGCCCTCGTGTGCCCTCGGCCTGCCCGGCGTGCGCTCTAGCCGCAGGAGAGGAGGCAGAGCGTGCGCGCCAGAGAGAGAAAAAGAAAAAGTGTGAGAGAGAATGAGAGTGAGCAAACCCCGCCCCTCCTGCCCGCAGGGAAATACTGGTAGTCCTTGACTTACGACCACATGGTTGGGGGTCACAACATGAGGAACCGTATTAAAGGGTCGCAGCATTAGGAAGGTTGAGAACCATTGTGTTAGACGGTCACAAACTGATGACATGACCCTGGGACAATGTAACCGTTATAAATACATGCAGTTGCCAAGCATTCAAATTTTGATCATGTGACCATGGGGATGCTGCAACAGTCGTAAATGTGAAAAACAGTCATATGTCACTTTTTCAGTGCTGTTGTAACTTAAAATGGTCACTAAACAAATGGTTGTATAATTTGAGGACTGCCTGTATGAGATAACCACAAGTTTCTCTTTCTCAAGTGGGCCTTCAGGTACAATGCATGCAGTGCAAAGATAGGGCTGTTAATAAGCTTTCAGGTAACCGGATGACAGGATGGCAGTTCCAATACTGTACCAAATGGGCATGTGCTGCAGTGTTATTGTAACTCTTAATTTCATCCCTGCTTTTACTTGCCGATAAGTCAGGCTTGTTTCAGGTAAAATATTCTCCATTTCCTGACCATTTTTGGTTGCTATTTTTGTTCTAGTGTAGAGAGTAAAAAAGATGACTATGATTAAGTTAGGCAAGAACTGTTACCTAGGCAATAGGGGCTGAAACATCTTTAAAACAACAGAAAATTATTACTGATCACAGTCCTGCACCTTGAATGAACGCAGCTTGGATTTATGATTCAGTGTAAAGATGTGCACAGTGTTCTTTGTGGAACAGCTGGTGGCTTTTGCCCAAACTGAAATGTATTTGTTA